AATAAGATTATGTATAAGCTTACTATGCTTTGATATTAATTAAAATTGAAAAATGTGGTCATTGAAATTATCACGATATTCGGTAATATCGTGATAAACGCCTTGACAATAATCATGAGTTGATTTTTTTAATATCACCCAACCCTATTTGCTTGTGGGATGTAAAAGCTTGTTGCACATGCGCACTTTTTACGCTTTAATCGGTTACGCATGCGCAATCTATCATTTAGCATACCACAATGAAAACGCTAAATATATTAGTATAAAATCGGAGACTGCATGTCCGTAATTTAAATGATGCAACAACTCGGGGATCGGATGATAGACCATTGACGGCTCTGAGCTAACTGTTGCTGTTCCTTGCACGATTATGTGTGTGAGGCACTTGCCAAATGCGTAGTCGTGAGTGAGACAAAGGGTGTGATCCTTGCCAACAGGCGACCAGCTACAGCGGGCGATATGTGATTAAACGTCCCTGTTGAAACAAAAGAAACCTGGGCAACTATGCTATTATTCAAATAATTTCATGATACTTTGATTTTATTAGTGCCTTAAACATTTGAGAATGTAACTCTGCAAATTGAAATAATGTTCTCAAAGTTCCCGATGATGGGGCCATTCCATTTAATATCCACACCCCCCTGTTGACGAGGTTACTGATTTTGGAACCCTTCGGAAACGGTTTTTGAGAAGACCCCCTCGGAAATTTGCTATTTTTCGCGGAACCCCTCGGAAATTTTCCATTTTTCTCAAGCCCTTCGGAAATACTTGTTGACGAGGTTCCATCATGGAAGACCCCTTCGGAAATTTTGAATTTTTTTATCCCCCTTCGGAAATTTTGTATAATTTTCTTACCCCCTCAGAAACAGACCCTGTTGACAAGGTTGCTGATTTTTTACCCCTTCGGAAATTTTCAAATTTTTATAACCCTTCGGAAATTTTGTATAATTTTCTTACCCCCTCAGAAACACTCCCTGTTGACAAGGTTCCTGATTTTTTACCCCTCGGAAATTTACGATTTTTCTCAACCCCTCGGAATTTTTTGTGGGGGCCCTAACCCCATCAGAAATTTTAACATTTGTCTCAACCCCTCGGAAATTTGGATATTTTTCCGAACTCCCTTGGAATTGATGTATCGTGCGGGCGGGAGAAGTGAGGGCGTCATTGAGGAAACACCTGCCGAAATGGCTATGACAAATTTGTATTTGACCGAAGAAACTTCGGCTTAATTCCCATTGGTTAATCTTGTTGATGGAAGTAATTACGTAACTCAAATCGGTCAAATGTCAACAATAATTTTGCCCGTGTATCGAATAGCAGACAGCCGTATATATTCTCATAAAAAATATATGCCTGTTACCAGTGGCCGTTCCTAGACGCGATAATTGGGTGTGTGTATATTCATATATTCGTGTACTGCCCGACGGATTTCATTTGAAAGCGATTGATTTTACGGTATGTGAACATGAATATATGAAATATACCCCCCCCCCCAAGTTACGGCCCTGGAAACTCTTCTGATATTGCATGTTTTGGACTATTTAGGCTTAGATCGAAATTTAGTTGAAACCAGAACTCTGGAAGACTATTATTAATTTGCTACGTGGTGAAGACGCCTGTTATTGTGATTCTTCCTATGCCAGGGACTTTTTTAAGGATTTTCCCGGGGGGAGATATTTTGAAAAGGAACTTGTCTGTGAGATAATATATTAGAGGGGAATAGCAATGGCTGAAGGCCACGTGTGGCTGACATACCACAACCTCGTCCCCAGGGTCTTCCTCGTGGTGGCGCGTGAGCTGAGGAAGACCCTGGTAAAATACGATGAAATCTCCAGGATTCTTGGAGATTTATCGCATGCGCAGTAACGACAACGTTATGTTGCTGACTACAATTAGCGCTGGCGCTTACGATTTTCTTGCTTAAAAATATACATGTTTTGTTGATTGTTTATGGATTTATTCTCAAAGTTTTAACAACTTTTACGAAAAATACTTCAGATATAAGCTGTGAACACACATGTACACAAAACTGTGCAACATTCATCATCATATTGTATCAATTTGTCGGAGTATGGCGCTCAAATTTGTGACATTGTTTTGTTCGCTTTGGCAACCCTCGTATATATCAGATGCCGTTCGGCCTCAAATGCGACTGAATAAACACTGATAGTGTTGCCTGGAATATGAAATGATATTGACTTATTGTTCTGTATATCAAGGTATGTAATGTACATTTATACTGAATTTATTCGATTTTTTTCACACGTTGCTTTCACATTTTCTCAGAGTCTTGGAAATCACATTTTCTAATAAACTCAGTTTCACACATACAGCAAGACTTCATTTCACACATACAGAAAGACTTTTCAGAAATCACAGTTTTTACTGTAACATATAGAAAAACTTCATATTATCTCACCAGTTAATCTAATTATGATAACAGTACGTAGTAGAAATGCTTAGAAAGATTTTATTCTGTTTTCCATATACAGTGTACAACTGTTATTGCAATTTTCTCTTTCCTATATTTTCTTTAAAGCAGGTACTGTTCTGTTACAAAACAACTAATAAACATTTTATTATTTTAACAGGTGAACCATATTTTACATGAACTTGGGAAAAAACAACTTGAATTCCATGGAAATATATATAATCATGTCATCAATCAGATAGTAAACAATCATTAAGATGGCCTCAAGATTATATTTCACAGTGACCAAACATGAAAATTTTTAAATGGGAATTAGTTGATGGCATTATAGTTTTCTAATGCTATATAATTTTGTTCATCAAGGTGAAGAAACCTTAACTCACTATACCTTTTCCTGTTACAGAGCTATGGTAGTAATCTTAGAAGATTTTCATGATCCCTCTATTCAGTAGTTCTTTAACCAGTCTAGTATTATGACTGTATTATGTTAAATAGCCTTGTGTGACTTTTGTATTTTGTTCCTTTAATAATACATACATTTACAATGGTCAAAATTACAGTTTAATATTTGTATTTCTAATGATAATTACTTGCACATATCCATCACACTTCTCTGTTACTATTAAACTTATTACTATCATGCAAGTAAAATCTCAGGGAAAAATAAAATGTTGTCCCAGGATAGTCATAAATATCATCTAGTAAAACTAATGAATATACCTATAATCATGTACATATGACTATCATATAATATGTTGTAATTCCTTTAAGTGTTTCCAATTAAATAAATTTCTATTTTCAGTTGTTCATTGTTCAAACTAATTTGAAACCTACAGTATATGTAGTTGCTATGATTCAGATTAATATCCAAAAGTGTGCCTTTTACTTCAGTTAGACTCCTCCCTAATACAGACACTTTATTGTGCCACTCCAATGTTCATTCAAAGTGATCCAACTGACATCTGAGCTGGTGATAATATACAGCAAAGTATTGGAAGTAGGAGTATATCAGATAAGTTGTTCATTCAGTCAAGACCTTCAGGTTGTGCTGATCATCATATCAAACTCCATCACATATTGTGCCTTAAAAACATATATACAAATTTTAAAAGTTGTTGCAGCACACTGGGCCATTCCATCTAATATAGCCCCCCCCCCACACCCTATTGAGGGGTCTCTTCATAATACCTTTTAATAATTTTGGAACCCCATTGGATGCAATTTTGGAACCCCTATGGATGTCTTTCTACCCCTTTAGGATATTGTTCCTGCCCCTTTGGATATCACTAAAACACCTAATTTTTAGGAAATCTCTTAAGCTACCCTCCAGAAAAATTTAAGGTAAAAACCCCCTCTATAAAATCCTCATATAGGATATCCAGACCTCAATAGACAATAGGGGGGGGGGGCTATTAAATGGAATGGCCTATTTGACTTGGTGAGTGGTGACTACCACCAAAGGAAAATGAAACATGCTGGCCTGCTTTACATACAGAATAAATTTTGAAGCATTTCTACTGTTACTTGTAACGATAATCAGATTTGATGAGAAAATATGGAGTCTTTCTGTATGTTAGTGATGTGATCTCATTGTTCATAAAGCTGAAATAGTTTGAAACTCGTGTGAAAATAAATCCAGTATAAATGTACAGTACGTACCTTGATATACGGAACAATCATTCAATATTATTTCATATTCCAGGCAACACTATCAGTGTTTATTCAGTCGCATTTGAGGCCGAACAGCATCTGAGGTCATCTGATATATACGAGGGTTGCCAAAGCGAACAAAACAATGTCACAAATTTGAGCGCCATACTCCGACAAATTGATACAATATGATGATGAATGTTGCACAGTTTTGTGTACATGTGTGTTCACAGCTTATATCTGAAGTATTTTTCGTAAAAGTTCTTAAAACTTTGAGAATAAATCCATAAACAATCAACAAAACATGTATATTTTTAAGCAAGAAAATCGTAAGCGCCAGCGCTAATTGTAGTCAGCAACATAACGTTGTCGTTACTGCGCATGCGATAAATCTCCAAGAATCCTGGAGATTTCATCGTATTTTACCAGGGTCTTCCTCAGCTCACGCGCCACCACAAGGAAGACCCTGGGGACGAGGTTGGACATACCACACATAAATAGGGGGTCTGGGGGGAAAATTTGAAGCCCAGAATTGAAATGCCATGCACTTCCTGCATATATTCTGAGCATCCAGTTTTGCTCTAAAATTATAGGAGGATTTAAAGGTTAGGTCTGTTTCATATGTCGCACTATCGTCGAATTTTTAATTCAAATGAATTTAATTAATTGAACGAATTAAGTTTTATCACAGTTTATAAACGGTGGTTTTATCCGTTATGACTCCATGACTCTACCGGTGAAGGTGCTAATTACAAAACGTCAATCATTATTAATGCCAGTGTTTGTATTCCGAGTAATGAGTAATGAGTAATGAATTTTCGTACTTGACAGTGATTCCACACACACTTTGCCGTAAATAATTATGATGCTGTGACGATGTCAGCAGTATAAACTGGTATGATCAAATATGGCCATATAAATTTCGCTCATATATAGCATAACTCGTTTTTAGCATGTTACATATTAACCAGTTCAGCCTTCAAAACGATTGTCGGTCCCGAAGTTGAATAACATGTTGGCAATAGTATACTGTAGAATACAAGACTGTGCTGTCCGAGTGATAAAGTTGGTTTTATGATAAATTTTCGATCGCCATATTTGTTTTGCTATCTGCGGTCATGCAGCCCGTATAAAATCCGCAATTGACGTCCAAACGTTTTTAAGCTCGAAAGCACTTAATTTCCATACCATTTTGTTCGGCTAAATTCAGGTTTTTCCCATGCGAAATGTCGATAACTAAGTTTTCAGTTTATAAAACCATAGCCATGTTTACTTGTATTCTACTATTGCGAACATGTTATTCAACTTGGAGACAAACGGTTTGAAGGCTAAACTGGTTAATATGTGACATACTTTTAAAAACGAGTATGCTATAAGCGAAATTATGGCCATATTTGATCATACCATGCAGTTTAAACTGCCGACACTATATCACAGCATTATGATTATTCACGGCAAGGGCATGGAATCACTGTCAATGTTTTCATGGTTTATCTTTCCAAAGCGAGTACAAAAATTCATTACTCATTACTCATTACTCGGAATACAAAACACCCAAAAACAATTTGTCATAGCCAATTTGGGCAAGCGTTTCCTCAGGGCTGATTACATGGAGAGTTTGGGAAAATAATGGCCGCTGAAATTGCTTCTCAGCCAATCACAGTCTGGTCCATGTGAACAAAAGAAAAAGCACCAAGCGCATTAGACTTGACCACAAGTCGATCTCGAAAACCGCGAAAAAAACTGGAAAGGGCTCGGGGAAAGCCTAAAAGCGCATTTGAGATGGCTAGACGTGCAGGGTTTATTTGATCGAGTGTATATATACTGCATTGGGAAATCACTCATCTTCGAAACAACAAAAATTAGTAACTCATTCAGCAACAATCTGCGGTTTATTTGATATTTGCTGATTTTTGCGAGTGGCGTTTTGTGCATATGATCATTATGATGTACGCCTGACAAATATCCTAGGATATTCTAATCTGCGGTGCCGTGACATATTCAGTCTAGTCCTTTCATAAATTCATAATAATACTGTTGTCTTATAACTTCGTTGCAATTCTTTGCTTATTGCGAACAAATGAATCAAATCCCCATCATGAGAGTTTTGAAACCGTTTGTTTTAAATTTAGGTGGCAGTCCATGCGGCTCATTGGCAGGTCCGTCGCTATAGGGGGGGGGGGGAGTTGGGGTAGGACATCCCGGCTGAAAACATCCTGTCGGGAAAATAACGGATCTCGTCGGCAAGTTGTATATTCGTAGTCAGCGAAAATATTTGAGTTGCTCCGATTAAAAAGTAATAGTTATAGCAAAAATTTTTATGATTTACGAAAACGTTACCGAAAAATGATTTAACAAATTACGGTACATTAATTTGAAATTTAGTGAAAATGGTATATCAGGAAACGTTTTTACCTCCCTCCCCCTTGCTCGCCAACAATTTTGGCCCTGGCATTTGGATGTTTTCATGCAATTGTGTTGAGAGAGTTGAAGTCAAAGAAGCAGTAGGCATGCATATCCAATTATATTTTCAAAATGTTCAGTTATTGGTATATTTTGGAAAAGCTTTCAAAGTGTTTACTTTATATCAGGTTCATTTTGAAATGTTTACTTTTATGCATCGCCTTATTGGTCAATTTCGAAAACGTTTTATTTAAAACGCTGGTATATTTAAAACGTTGCTAACTTGCCAAGAATGCGGACCAAGGCCGTAGCAACGTGAAGAAAAAAAAAACACCTATCATAAATATAGGTAAAATAGATATAAGATATCAAGATCTTTGTGGCATCTCACACGAATGAATAATAGAGAGGTTAAGATACCCCGGTTTCGGTGTATGTGTACGGGTAGCATGATTTTGGTTAGTAATATTTTCGTCGATGTCTGTACTTTTACTCGTAATTATTAAGTTGCACATTTTTCGCATTATATCATTGTCTATTGCAAGAAAACAGAAAAAGTATGATCGAATTACAGACATCAGTAAAACAAGATGACACTACTCGTACCCGTACACCAAAACCGGGGTATCTTAACCTCTCTAATATTTGATGGGTATTGTATTGTAGATGGGGCGGGAGGGGGAATAGGTTTTCGGACCGTCGGATTTCGGATCTGGCGAATATTTTACACGGATTTGCGGATCTTATTAATACAGCGGATTGCAGATTTATCTTAATATTTTAGCTCGGATTGTGGATTTAGCTTGCAATTTAGTTCGGACCCTGGATTGTGACTTCATAGTAGAGCTTTTAGCGGATTCAAATTTAGACCAGACCATTGTCGGATCGCGAATTTTGCTTCAAATTTGGGCGGATCGGCGGATTTGTATACCCCTATTCACTCCCCTCGTAGATGGAAATGAAAGGAATTATTGCAAGGGAGAGATGTTGTTTCGCTCAGCTTCTGAAAGTTGTACATCTCGTATCGGATAGGTGCTTTTTCGCGCTGCTACGGAAATCTATCTGGCATAGGGCAAACGCAACCCAACCAAATCACTTATAAATATTCAAATGTACGCATTTTTCCTCAACAGATAAATCCTAGTAATGTTGATATTTGATACTATACAATAAACAGAAATTTGTGTGGAACGCATAAAATCTACAGCGTCCTTCCTCACGCATCTCTATAATATAGGGGTCGCCTCGATTAACACAACATTTTCTCTATGAAATTATACGCAGCAAAATCAAGACTGACGAATTGACAAAATATCTG